AAAGTTACTGAATCATGTTTTGAATTGCAACTATACGCGACGTCGCGCACTGATCCGACGAATTATAACAACCGCGCGCGCGTGTGCGTCTTTCGAATACTTGTGCGCGCTTCGCTGAATAACAAAACGAACTACTAATTTAAATTTCCCTACGGTGCTTCTTAAGAATCACCGTTGGAAAGGCCTTCTTTCGTTGATTACTTCAAAATGACAGCTTCCCAGAAAGAATAATTTCACAGGGAGTTTAAGTCTCCTTACTATCTTTCAACCAAGTTAGTTTTTCAACAATAATTACGCCAGTTACTTTTCGGATGGCTGCAAATGATGGACTCTACCTTTAAGGTAAGGCTGTTCACAGGGGGTCGTTAGTATTTGGTATTGCCCTCGCCTCACCTTTACAAAGTAGGGTCTGAATACGAAACTACGGGAATGGAATGCTGTGTTCTTTCTTATCAGAGAATAGTGGGAGCTTTTATGCACAGCCAAATTTCTAAAAAATATCATGAAAGAATTTTGTTTCCAGTTTCAAGGGAGTTGAAAACGGAAGTTACTTTTAAAAGGTAATTTCCGGTAGTTCTCTTTTCAAAATACACATGTACATGTATGTATATTTGGGATGAGATGCACAAGTGCATGCACATGTGTGTACAGAAAGCAGTGTGGGTATACAGTTTGTATATTGTTTGGATTGGGCAATTCAACGATAGCAAGTTCGAACAATTAAAGGGAAAATACAACATTTGCAAACATCAAAAAATAAAACTACCAAATCATTTTGAAATACCTTGCTGGACTGTTAGTGAATGACAGTGTAAAGCATCCTGTAACATCATGGCACCTGGTACAAATTGTATACTGTCATTTTCAAGAAAAGTGGTATTTTTGTATCAATTTCCAACGCTGGTCGGTCGACCAGCATTGGAAAAAACTGGCTTTTTTTCAAATACAGGCCCCAATTGACCATTGCACTTGTTTGCAATCGATTACACACCTATGAACGGGTACAAGCCAGCTAGACTGGTTCCCTGACCTTACAATTCCCCAATGTATGTAAACTACTCTGTTTCTTCTTATATGGAGTCAGGGAACCAGACTACAGGAAAATGATTGTTTTTCTTGATTTTTATAGCATTTTCGAACCCAAAACCTCAAAAAAGTCAGTGTAACTACATGTATATTTGCTATATATTTCCAACCCCCAATTCCATCCATTTCTGAAAATTACAGCAAAAGCAAATGATGTATATTCCCTTTAAATAGCATGTTTTATCTTCCAGTTGATAATTTTTGGCAAAAATATTGCCATTTTAGCTGTGTACCGTCCTTATGTACATTCAACATTTGCTTCTTTTCTTTTAAAGGGTTTGCCCCTCAATAGTGCAATGAGAATTGCATCATAGTATATGTACTTCCCAGTATTTTGTCCAAGGAAAGTATGATTTTGATTTCATGATCTCAATTCTGAGGGATTTTCCCCTGCATTCAGTCTGTCCGCTCTCCCAACGGGGTTTGCTGTACATTGACACCGAGCCGATTGACAGTCTGCTTTTAGGACATTTTAATAGTTCTTTTGTGAAAACAACTTGATTGCCTTTTTTATTTTTTGTTGCTTAAAATTGCTGTGGGGTTTGAGCCAATATGATCATGGTGAAATAAAGAAGGAAAAAAATGTGTCATACTTAAAACCTCAGAGTAAACCTCACGTGCATTAAATAAATAAGTCAAACATGGAATAATACCAGTAGGCCTACATGTATGTAACTACACCTACATGTAACAGTCTACAGATGTAATTACAGTCACTTTGGAGACTTTTCTAGACAGGTATTTTTGTCAGTAAAGTAGAAGTGAAACGTTTCTGTGTGTAGGCCTCCAACCTGGGTCCAGGCAATGTCGCATAGTTAACAATAGTTTCACCCAAACGCTGTACAAACTCTAAGATTCCTGGAAACGAGTTGGGAAGGGGGCCCTAGATTTTTGTGAGAATAGATACATTGTACATGTAATGATGATCTTTTAAATGTCCTGTCGGGTATTCCCGCATGTTGTTGTTATATGAAAAATGTAAAGGTTCTGCAACATTAACGGCCTGCTCTACAAGACCAGACAAACTTGAACACATACATGTAGCTTTTCCAAACCTGATGGTAAAGCCTTGGTAGGAGACTTACACTTAACTACATAAAAGAAAGTGAGTTAAGTGGTCAAAATATTTTTCTTTTCCGTTCCAAATTAATTTTGGCCTGACGTTTAGAGTAGGAACTGAAAATTGTATAAATGTCGGTGTAATTGGACTAGTGCCAATGAATCTGTCAATAAAAGGAGGTCCCACCTCTTTTTTTGTCAGACATTTCTTCAAAATATTTATACGCAACGGCAATTAGCCCAACTTCATTCATTGTATGACAGTTTTATGTCGGGAAATCATTTTTTTTACAGTATTCCTTTTCCCTTGACTCTTGGACTCCTGCCAAGTCGACCCCACCCTTTGGGTCAAATTCTGAACACGCACATATAAATTGCTTTGGTGATGGCATGCCCCTTTTGTCAAACCTACATGTTATGTATGACAAAAATATTTAATTCCGTTTACTTATTTCTCCTGCAAAGACGAAAAATTTTCATGTATACATGTACATTTTTCGTAACAAGAAAAATTTTCTTGCAGTTTTTCTTAAAATAAGAAACATAACTGAGAAAAGGTTAGAATTTTTTTTCTTATTTTGACAAAAGTTAAGAAAATTATTTATCCTAAATCAAGAACACTAGAAAAAAAATCTAATAACAAGTTTCTTAAAACAAGAATTGGCCTTTTAGAAATATTTTCTTGTGTCACTCCCTAGAAAAAATAACTTGTTTAAGTTTTTTTTTTTCTCAAAATAAGAAATATATTTTTGGTAGTGTATGTACGGCCCTGTACATCAAATACATTTATGTACTTGTACAGTTGACCAATTTAATTGACTCCCTTCAATACAAACTCAGCAGTCGGACTTATTAGCCCAACTTTTGGTTGTATAAAAAAAAAAAAAATTAACGGTGATGTAAGTCCTCCTGCAATTACCTGATTTCAGGATTTTGAGGGATTTTTTTTGAATTTGTAAATAACATATGGACGCCATACTTTTGTGCGTACTTTTCCTTTATACCTCAAATTTCAGGCAAAAACGTCAGTGTCCGTATAAGTGGAACACCAGTCCCATTCATTCTGCACATAATTCCACGGTTGGAAACGAGACTTTATATGTTCAATATGACAAGAATGTTGTTGTAATGTAACCGAATATAATGAGACTTAACTGTATACGAACAAACGTATACATTTTACTTTAGTGCTGAAGCTCAGATGTATAGGCCCTATCGTTGTACTGGTACGTGGCTGACCCAGGGTTACGCTGACGTGTCCCAACTTGCAGGCTGGGGTCATTGTCCACAACACACAGTGGAGGCCAACTTGTGTTGGGACATGTTTTTAGGGGGAGAGATGAGATTGAGAGTTAAATAGAACGCATGACTCTCTGATGACTAATGCATTTAGTGTTTGGAGCTCATTAGCATATAAAAAAAAATATACATGGGGTGATGGCAGTAACTTTGTGGCTGAAGTTTTGCATCGTTGGGTGGTTCGTTACGGAGTCGATTATCTTGCAGGTTTCGCAGTTCAGCTTTTAAATAAAATCTTCAAGGACTTTTGACGCCAACCATACACTATACTAACACCGCCATGATGACCATTTGACACACAACTTGACATTTCACATTGTATTGTCTTTCAGTAATTAAATACAACTAGTAGCTGTTGCATTTTTTACCCTAACTCAAAACGGTGATGCTCTGACCTAGTAATAGTATGTTTGCACTTTGGCACTCTAGTCTATTAAACTTTAGAGAAGTTAATAAGATGCATTATACATTGCAGCTGTGAAATATATCGATGCATGTGATATTGTTTTTTGAACCAGAAGAACCAAATGGTATCCACTCAATCAATGTACATGTAGCTTCAAGATATTTACTTATCAAGGTGCTTGTTACTCCTTTCTTTTGAAGTCCAGTTTGGGCCATACACTATTTTCAGGATGACGAAAGTCCTCATAGTCATACTACAATTGTCTGATTTCATTAGCACCATACAGGGTGAGTCAAAAAAATGAAACTCAAATGTTGGGATTATTGTTTTAATGAAGTTCTGCATGTAGCACTTTCAAAATCTAGGATATGAAAGCCCAATTCATAAGCTTTCTTTTAGTACAAGAATCATTCAAATCACTCATGTACAAGTTTTTCAAGTTACAGAATTTTAAACACAACCACCGTTGTAAAGTTCTGTCCATGGATCACAAAAAAGGTGTGCATTCTTTCAGCAAAATGAAAACAATTCACACACATCCCGATGTGATTTGTTTTCGTTTTGCTGAAAGAACACTGAACTTTTTGTGTGATCCGTGGACAGAACCTTAAAACGGTGGTTGTGTTAAAAATTCCGTAATTTGAAAAGTACATGAGTGATTTGAATGATTCTTGTACTACAACAAAATTTATGAATTGGGCTTTCATATCCTAGATTTTGAAAGTGCTACATGCAGAACTTCACTAAAACAATAGTCCCGACATTTGGGTTTTGGTTTTTTTTACTCACCCTGTACATGTTTATATAATTTTCCTTATATGTGTCACTCAAATTTAAGGCAGAATTGTCAAGAGTCAACTTTATACATCTCTTTAATTTGTACATGTTACAGATACGGTAACACGAAAAAGGCTGCATACCGGTACCTCAATGCATGTAGCATCCATTTCGTGTCTACCAATTCAAACAACACACGTACATGTACTGTCTAAATGAACACGTATGGCCCTGCAACCTCACAGAGTGGGGAAAGCAACTGAAGTGACACAATCATTTTGGGCTTTACTTGTCCATGTTCAACTAGAAACTCAAAAAAATATGCAACTGTATTTTAATTTGGTTTTCTCTCTGTTGTCTGTGTGTGCATTAGGTCGGCCTACATCTCTTACGGAGGTCTGCTGATGAGGTTACAGGGTGACGCTAACAACCTACACGGCGTCGAACAAGACATGCACGTTTACCTGCTCATGAAGAAACTGGCATTTTGAGGGTTTTTTTTTTTTTGCAATCAGAAGTTTACTTTTCTGTTCTCCAAATAAAACCCAGGCTTGTTAGGTTGCGTCTCAAAAGTTTGAACGGTCCTGTTCCGTATGGAACATTCCGTTTAGGAAAACTGTGCGTTCCCGTCGGGAACGCGCTGTCTTCCCAGCGTGTTCCCAACTGGAACAGGCTGTTCCTGAGCAAGCGTGCACGGGCATAGACCAACGTTCCTACATGTATGCGGGATCACCTAGCATTCCCAGGCAGTTCCCAGTGAGAACATATTTTCCCAATCAGAATTCAGGCAGTGTTCACTGGTGGAAAGTTCTCTTCGTTTCGACTTTCTTTTTTTTAGGAAACGAAACCAAAATCAAACTTGACATTGAATTTATTTTCAGTAATTTTTCTGGCTTTTTTATTTTGAAATTTCGAAAATGTTTTGGGTATTTTCTAAAATGTTAAGAGGATCTTAGGATTATGAAGTTGAGGAAAAGGGGAAAATGTCTTCGTTTTTGGTTGGGGCATTTATTTCTTAAGTCAATGAATTTAATTATTTGTTTGGAGGAAAAGTAAACTTCTGGTGGGCCTACACCCCTGTTCCAAATTGCTTTGGAAATGGGGAGTTGTAATAATTTTTTTTAATTAATAACTTTAATATTAGACTTCTACCGAAGGAGATGATGATATTTTGGTTATCGTTTACTATAAATTTTGAACTTTATTTTCTCCTAAAATACACGTACAGTGTAACATAACAACATTCCAGGAATGTCATTATGAAGATAGAGTTATTGAAGAAAGTGTACTTTCAAAAAGAATATCATCAATGTAATAAATCCCTAAAAAAATACCTGTCGCCCTTTTGTTCCATGACAGCAGATCATTTCAATTTGTTTCTGTCTTATTTGTGACTCAAATTTACAAAATTAAACCTGAAAGAAAGGTTTGTCTTTTTGCAATGGCTGTCCTCACGAATTAAGAGGAGAATGTGCTATTAATTTTGCTCCGTCGTTCAGACCTGCAACCTGGAATTTCAGGATTCTTACAGGTGTGAAACACTTAACATAATGTTGTTGTTCTTACTGCAATGTGAATTGGTCACTAAATTAAACTTTTATTATTACATGTATTTAACTTATATTATTATTCACTGATTAAATGTCGTGCTCTCTTCAAACTTCAGTTGTCCTTAATCTGATCTCATCAAGTTTTTTTCTTGATTTAAAAAAAATAGGTGGTTGTTTGTGTGATAGTCTTATGCTAGTTAATTTGTTGATCGTTGTGTTGTTTGTCTGTTCAGCATTTCCTTTGTTTGTTTTGTTTTTTAGGAGAGACCATTGAGGTTGTTTTATAAATTATCTTTTGCTGTATGCATCCTTCCTACACTGGCATTCATCTTTTCATGCAGTTGTACATAAATTTTGAACCATGCACTAACTAAGTCTTGTTCCCAACACCATGGCACACTGCCAGTTTGTCTGATGATCTCAACCTCGCGTGATTCTCACGAATTGTAAATAGATTTTCTTTTTATTAAAGGTTGCCCTCCCGAGTGCACCTGATTATTCTTCCAACTTTTTTTTCTGATCAAAAGGTTTGGCCGCTTTGAAGTGAAAGTACAAAAAAAAAGTGGGGGAAAAAATCAGTGAAATGGGAAAAACAGAGTGTAGACCAAACTGGATATAGAATGACTTTACACGCATAGAGGACCCTAGTAATTGCATAACCATTGTGCCAGGTACAAATGTTCATATTCCCCATGGAGCAGTATAGACTAGCCTTCGGCGACAGCCATTTTCTGAGGTGGCGCCAGGCTTGCGCGTGTCGCGCTCAGGTAGTACGCACGCAATTCGGACTTTTTCGACCAATAGGGTTGACAAAATGCGCGCCTCATCTTTAACGCGCACGACATGCGCGCGAACGTGGCACCAACTCATAAACGGCTTCTAATTTTGTTCGCCGAATTAGTCTGTAAGACTTTTTGACATGGAAGTGGGTAAACTCTTATTCGTATTTACCCAAATTTAATGACTCCAAATTTAAAGAGCGCCCTCCTATTGTGTCTGCCATAATGCAGTGACTGGCACAGTGCCTTCACCAAGGGCGGATCCAGGGGGGCCAAAGGGGGCCATGCCCCCCCCCCCAAAAAAAAAACGAAACCAATTTTTTAATTTTTGGGGGGACATTGCAATAAAGGCAGGCAATGAGTACACCACCATCTTTTCCTCAAAATAACATTGGTTAAAGTGGTCAGAAATTGCCTCAGATCGCAATTGCCTCAGATCGCAGATAGAATCCAAAACAATTTCAGGGCCCTTAAGCGGGCCCCGAACCCCACGCCGTAATTTTTTTGACCCACTTTTTTGGGGGACCAAAATTTTTTTTGGCCCCCCAAAAAATTGTGTTCTGGATCCGCCCTTGGCCTTCACAATTAATGGTTGGCTTGGTTAGTACTCGGTGATTCATTATCTGGATTGGTCGATACTCCGTATAGTCAAACTCAACAGTATTCAAATAATTTCCAAGATTGTTAAGTATAAATTTTAGCTCAGCAGAGTGTAGCTTTGAGTTTTTGATAATAAATGAGAGAGATTCTCATACTTGTAAAGAGAAATCCACTGCTTCAAGTGTGTTTTGTCTGTTATTGAAGACTTTTGTTTGTTATGTGTTCATTGATATATAGGAGACTGCTCAACCTCGACCCAGGGTGTCGAGCATTACGCGCCCATCACTACCTGCTCTCTCACCCTGGTATTGGATCATTTGCATGGGCAAGATTTTTGAACATGTATGCAAATGAGGAATAGTATGGGGCCTGCATGTGCGTTACATTAGCTTTTGTTTTTGTATGCGGGGTCTGGGGTAAAAACAGGGTCAATTCGTCGCAGCGCGAGCATGGCGTGAGTTACGAAAACACAATTTATTTAATTAATCTGTTATGATCTTATCGAGACAGCATGCAGTATCACATTTCATATTAATATGAACAAATTGGAAAGGAATTTAGTATTTTCGAGAAGGCATGGACGAATGATCGCAAAAACACGTACTGCCTGTTGTGAATAACAACACCAAGTACACGATACAAATCCATTACTAGCCAATTGCGGTATCGAATCAGGATACAGGAAGAAAGTTTCCTATCCAGGGCTTACTATTGGAAGCGAGGTTGGAAATAAAGTAAGCACTGGGGACGAGGTTGGGGGACTGCTTGGGTGGTTGCCTGATCAGTCATGTGTGTCGATCAATAAATCAGTCAGTCAGTCATGTAATCAGTCCAGCGGATCAATGTTCAGGCAAGCAACTTTTCCTCGGACCAGCTGATTTTCTCCTTTTTTTCACTTCACTCTTATGCCCTTCAAAATTGAAAATCACTGTACAAAGTCTGGTAAAGATTGGAGTTTCCTCGTTTTTTCTTCTTCTTTCAAGTTGCATGCCTGAATGTTGTCTTAAGGGCAATCTGATCATTTGCATTTATCCCAAAAGTAACCTACCAAATTATTATCAAGTTTACTTGGATTTTATTAAGATCGTACTGGTACCAAACACCCAGTGAACTTATTCAATCTACTTGCTGTCATTTTAGCAGAAAACAAAATGTCGGTGGTTTCCAACGATCAGTCAATTGACTGATTTTTAGAAGTAAAGAGTGATATAAACGTTGCGGCGTTTCATGATCAAATTAGGTTGCAGATGGTTTTTCACTTTTTTTGTTTTGAAAAGTGTTTAACAATCTTTCGATTTCGAGTGGTGTTATTGGAAACAAAAAAAACCCGCGCGAAAAGCAATATTATCCCGTTTAAGTACAATGTAATATCTCCCTAAAAACGGCGTGGAAACGAAATGATGACAAACTTGTGATTGCAAATGAGCCGAAGTTTCATGCCCCATGTTCCAGAATATATGAATGGGTAGAATCAAACATACTAGAGAGGGATATATAGTATCTTTGGTAGAATACAAAAATAGTTTCGTTGACGCAGACTGACAATGCAGTGCTTAATTTAATATGCATTTTGTTTTCTTTGCTGGGAGGGGTTTGGCTTTCGAAAGAAAAAGAAGAATACAATAGGAGTAGTTTGGTATTGCACGCACGCTCTATCTTGCTCATCTAGATTTTTCCTCCTTTTTTTAATAAAAAAAAAGAAGTAATTTGGGGTCCACTTTTTTCTCTGTGCCCTTTACATCTGACATCTATAATTCGGATGCAGTCGCCCCCCAGGAGTGATTATGAATAGCAAACTACTTACTTAACAAATCCTCCTCCCCCCCCCCCTCCAAAAAAAACCTTGAATGACAACATGTAAAGTAACAGGGAAAGGAAAAATATTAACATTTGGACCCAAAATGTAAAGTGACCCATAATTATATCCCCCACTTTTGAACCATGAGAAGGTCCAAAGGATCATCGCGGAATATTATTATATGTACTTGTGAAAGCCGATCATGACGTTTTTAATCTCGACTGTCCTGGCGTAGCGACAATTTTGTTTGTTCACGGAGAGGGGAGTACCCAATCTCTGTTAATGTCCCCTGCTCGTGGCCGGTTGGGGAAACGAAAAACGTGTTGACCGATTTCTTTTCTCGAAATTTGTCGGATGTACCCCCGAGTTCCTGTGAATTCGTTTTTGAAGTAGCTCTCGTTGGGTACTCCAAAACTATGACATGTTTCTTAATTGGTTTAATCTGACAGTGCTTGTATTGTTAAGATGCAGGACACGTTTTTATGATCCCCCCCCCCCGAAAAAACCAAGTTACTTTTGATTTCATTCTAATCGAAACCGAAAATAAGGAGTACAACCCCCCCCCCCCTCCCCCCCCTAAGTATAGACATTGTAATTAGTTTTCTGATGTCGATTGATCATTATTATCACGGATCAGTTCCGCGTAACCATAGAGCAACTGCAAGTACCATCCCTTCATTGCAACCCACACACGCGCGTTTGTCATCCGCGGTCGTCAGCCGGCCAGAAACGGATGTAGCGTATCCCTGTCTCATTGTTAGTGGGGGAATAAGCCTTTGTTGACGGCGCGCGGAGCAGCACAATGAAGCCCCGACACCCGTGCTCCGGTCTAGCGCTTCGCCCACGATTGCTGTAAAGGTCAACCGTGTCTTTAAAAAAATACGGCTGCAAAAAGCTTCAAGTGTTCATAACTGATATTCTGTTTGGGAAGTTGAAGTGCGATTTCTTTTTAATCAGTAGGGTGAATAGAAAGGGGAAACAGTGGGTTTTAAATAACGAAACCTACGTTCTTCTGGGTGCGAAATTGTTTTGATTGGAAAAAAGGCACCCACACTTGAACAGCCCTCGGTCTCATGGGGGTAATTTTCTTTGCATACGGTGGAGGTTGCAGCACGCGCGCAGGAGTGATATTTTCTTTTGGGGAAAATCCCAACCACAATTACATCGATATTATTTTCTGATGAGTGGGTTTTTGGCTTTTGAGACTAAGTAAATGGGGGATGTGAGATTGTTTTGAAAGCTGAATAATATCATCCAGTAAATCCGGAGTATTGTTATTTTAATTCCCAAGCAGTCTGACAATCGACTCAGGCCGTTGTTTTTAATCAGTTGAGCGGGCGGATATGGGACTGATTTGCGGTGATTTCTGTTCAGTTTTTATAGCCAAGTGACACAAGAGACTAGATGCCTTTTTTTTTTAATTATTATTTTTTTGTTTAAATAACCTTGGGCGTCGCGAGGGGGGGGGGGGGGGGGGGGGGGGAGCCCCCCAAAAAGGAGCCTAAACAAAAAAGGGAAATAAAGAAAAGAAAAAGAGGCGCGAAGTCATATTGTTGTTAATTTAATGGGTGGGGGGGGGGGGCAAAATGTCCCTGCCCACCCTCGAAAAAAAAAAATTATCAATCGGGAAAAAAATTATCAATCGGGAAAACGCTGGAAAATACATGTGTATAGGGATTTTTTTTGGGGGGGGGGGGGCTCTGTGCTTTGCCGCCCCTCGCCAGGATTTTTTCTAGGCTAGAAAAAATCTTGGCGACGCCCATGAAAACAACCACCGAAAGTTTTCTGAAACACGAATGAAATAAGTTTGCCTATAAACAAAAAAAACGAAATCAATTTTTTTGTTTTTATGTGACATCGCAATAAAGGCAGGCAATGAGTACACCACCATCTTTTCCTCAAAAAAACATTGGTTAAAGTGGTCAGAAATTGCCTCAGATTGCACCACAGAGCATCTAGAGTCCAAAAAATGTTCGGGGCCCTTAAGCGGGCCCCGAACCCCACGCCGTAATTTTTTTACCCACTTTTTGGGGGACCAAATTTTTTTTTTTGCCCCCCCCAAAATTGTGTTCTGGATCCGCCCTTGAATGAACCTGTACTAAAATTTTCACTTCAGTTATTTTATTAATAAGTATATAGAAGGCATCACGAGCACAATACACAATCTCTATTTCTAATTTATCATGAGTTTTTATTTTAAGTTCCCCTTGTCATTTCAACAATTTGGTTACTTCCTACTAAAAAAACCCACAGCATCCGTCCGCAATTATTTTTTTATGCAACCTCAGTCGGAAACGGAACGATTTCGGACTCCCTCCAAATTATCCAGTATTAGAGCATTTTGAGGGCCGTGAACTTGAGGATTTGTAAAAAGAAAAGAAAAAAAAGAAAAGAAGGGTTAGCCGTACAGAGGACTGCCAGCCCGTATTAGTGTGAAATGTAGCTAAAATTAGGCCCTAAAATGGCGCTATTTTGCCATTGAGCATAATTATAGGCGTCAGGCCGGCTTTTTGGGGTGATCATCTATGGATGGAATTTTTTTCTAAAAAGTCATTGGATAACCCCCCCCCCCCCAAAAAAAAAAAAAAGAACGGAAAATGAAAGAAGATGAAATAAGCTTTAGTTTGATGTGTCTGAAGTACCTTGGAGTGTTGTGAGTATTTTTGATAATTTTGGGAAGTGCGCGTAATTATCACTTTAGTATATTTACTGGTCTGCAACCTGAAGAGGAAAAAGAATTGCTGCCTGGTCTGGATGGACAGCGCCCTCTCTCAGTGAGCATTATGTAGTTCTAATCTCTCCCCCCCCCCCCCCCATCCCCTTCCCGACCCGATCCAGAATATTTGGACAGGCAAAAATTAGCGTTATTATTGTTAAAACTTATTGAGTGACTCTTCAAAATATGAGCCCCTCCCCCATCCCTCATCACGTGCCCCATCTGTAGTTCACAACCCAACATTAAGCTCCACCCACAGTCCTTGAAATAAATTACGTCACCACCTATAATCTGCCAGTGATCTATTATATTGGTGGCGCCCTACATGACAACAAGATGAGTTGACCAGAAATCATGGCGGCCACCATCACAGCGACAGAACCAGTTTCTTCCGACGGGAAAGAACCATTTTTAGCACCTGCAGTGAAGATGATCAGGCATGTGCTAAGCTGTTTTGGCAGTCACTAACCCTACAGCCGCCGATTGAGTCAAGACTCGTGTCTGGTGATGTGAGGCAGAGGCTGAAAGTTGCGCCCCCAGGAAGACAACGTGCGTAAAGTCACAGTCATTAATAATAATAGATAGTGGATATTTTGCCGGAGGTAATGACGGCAAACTAACGATTACTAAAGGTTTGCCGGCGGCAATCCATATCAACAGAGGGCGCTGTACTCTTTAAAATAGGGCTGAATTATAAGATGTATTAAATTCCCACCAAAAAATGTGTAGCACGTTTGGTGTAATGGTTAAGCAAAGGCTCTAGTGAGCGGGATGACTCGCGTTCGATTCCGACCACACCACATTTTTAAGGTTTTTTTTCTCATCCCCAAATAAATAAGAATATTCTTCTTTTATTATTTTAACATGTCTCAAACATTTTTTTGCAGAGTATTAACATTTTCTTTTTCAGATTTGTGGCTCTGGAGGATTTTTTTTTAAAGGGAAATAAAGTCCGAAATTATAAAATGGTCTGAATCCCATCTTGTGAATACGAGGTAACAACGATAATTTTGGCATGGAGCCAGACTAAAACTTGTCACCGGAAAATGTTCAAGTACAAAAAAACAGTAACTGCGCATGTTCAGTGCATATCCGGCAAACTAACGTTTACTAAAGGTTTGCCGTCTCCGGCAAAATATACACTGCCTTAATAATAATATAGACTAGGGCCGCCTAGTCTAATTATTGAAAATGTGTGAGATGTGAGGGCACTGACTAAGTTCATTTGGTGACCCTTTTCTAAAATTTTGATTTTTTGTTGTGCTGATTCATACTGTTCTACATGTACTTTAAGTTTAAGCAATCGTGTAGTGTAGCATGTGTAGGGCCCCCTGTTTTGTTTCGATCAAATTAGAATCAAGATTTTTTTTTATTACTAAAATTTGACATTGTCCTAAAGCGCAGCAGACTTCTCTCAATGTAATGACACCTTTTTCGGTAATTTCTGAACAGTTTCTTGGGGTAGAAATTATGATTTTCCTACTCGGTTTACGGGCCGGTTGGTGCCGTGCAGTGCGACTTGCGTGCTCACGGTACATCGCCCGGAGATGATCGCCATCTTTATTTTCGCGTTGCGTTCTGTCATTGTCATCGTCAATTTTTACCCCGAAATTTCCCTTAAAAATTCAAAATCCTGCCCTTTATCTGTGACATACCTGTATGTTCTGAAATGTCACCAACTAGTTTGGTAGGTCAAATAATTTAAAAGTGAATTTTGTTCCTTAAGTTATAGGAACCGGGCCCGTACACGATCGCCAATATTTTGAGGAAATGTGAGTTTTGAGCATTTCATTTTGAATCATATTTCTGCACTCCTTTTTGTATGCAAAATAATCAAACTTTACTCTGCAAACATATCTGCAAACATAAACATTTTAGTGTCTCAAAAAATCCCTGGTTTAAATCAATTTTTCTTTGTTTCCAGATTCCAACGAAATCCGAACTTGTATTAGGCCTAAATTGTGTCTCTCTAGTCTCAGGTTTTTTCCCCACAAAACCAAGTCAAAAACAACTGTAGTTTCATTTTATTTCATTTCATTTTATTTCGCAGGTCAAATTTACAATGGGTAAAAAAAAAAAAAAAAATTACACTTACAGACAGTATAGACATAAAAACAGACATGATAAGTCTTCTAGGCCTATTACTAGGCTTAGGCCTAGGACTAAATATATTCAAAAAAAAATGAGCCTCCCCGTACCACACACATAGCTTGAGTAACTCCAGCTGACATGCTCATCAGGAATTCGACATGTTTGTAACGCTGGAGACAAAACTACTTTGTTGTACATTGTAGATGGATGTGATATTGTGTGCCAGGGGAAGTGAAAGGAAACTTTGACCGTTTGTGACCTTTTAAACAGCAGGAGGGTTTTAAAATGACTTAAACAACTTGAGCTTGAAATGTGCAATTGCTGCCTCATGGGCACATGCCACATATTGATCAGGATTAGTCCCACTAACTGGGGCACTAGAACTCCTTTTTTGACATTTTAGGATGTTAGCTCAATTGGGATGTTAACCGTACTAGCGTCCCACTAATAAATGTTATTGAATGATCGCTGTGCTGATGTCTAGATCTGTGCTATGGTTGAATTTTCACTGATTAATTTGCAACCCAAAAAATAATCGTGAGTATCATTGATGCCCCATTACTTCATCTTTGACATGTGGAGAAGCCAGTAGGTGTTTTCAAAGGTATTTTTGTCAAGTATTTTGCGTGATTATTTGGCAACTTTTGTGGTGAACTTTGGAAATTGCAACATTGAGAATTTTTCCTTAGTGGAACGCTAGTACGACAGGCTAACATCCCAAATGTCAAAAAAGGAGTTCTTGCACCCCAGTCCGTGTAGGCTATACGGACTGACATGGACTGTTGTTCTCCCTTCATGATTGTTTAGAACTAAGGGGTGAGAACCATTTCAAATAATCAAATAGGCTAGGCCAGCACATTCAAATCCTTGCTTTTCAAAATGTATGTTACCCATTGCTTTGTGTGTTTATTTATTATCAACAGCTGTGAATCGAGCCTATGAGAAGATTGAGACGTCACAAAGTAAGTGCAGGCTCATGCTTCATTTGAAATTATGCTGGAGAACTTAGAGTCTTGCAACATTATGTTTACTTAATATTAGGCCAAGTAATAAAATTAACCAGTTTCTTATCCAAAAACAAAACTACCAACTTATCATGAATAACCTCACTTTACTGTAAGTGAATATTCTCAAGTATCCTGTGAAATCATGGCACCTGGTGTGATGTCATTTTCAAGAAAAGTTGCATTTTTGTATCAATTTCCAACGATTGTCGGCTGACCATCCCTGACCTTACATTTTATCAATACATTTCAAATGTGACACCTTTGTCCTGTCCTACAACACTTGAGTTATTTTTTTTCACACTGTTTTAGAACTGACAGATTTCCTGGAGAGAGCACATGCTGAGGTGGTATATGCACAGAGCATGAAACTCACCAAACAGGTACATTGCTGTAGCCATTTTGAAACAGTAAAACCAAACTATGTTTCTGTAAGTTCCCGTAACAATTTGAAAATCAAGAAAATGTACAAGGATATTTTTAAGTCGGAGTTTATAACACCAGTTCTAGGGTTGTCCCCTATGTTCTAAATATTTGAATATTCGTTTATCAAACAAATATCCGAAAAGCTTATTGAAAAAAATGGGGAAAAAAAGAAGTTAAATCCTCCAAATTGATATGAATTTTCAGGGAGTGTAGTCTATGTGATATTGCCTTGCACAGCAAGGGTCTATGATATGCGAGCAGATTCGGCAATTAATTATGGCAAATGAGACTGCGTCTTGACCTGCAGATTCAGTTGCGTCTTTTATCGGGTCTTCCGTAACCCATTGTTGTATTGCAGAAAATGTTATTGCAGCCAAATTGACCAATCAACAGCATAGTCCACATTTCTGATTTGAAATGATGTCACAGTTTCTAAAGGCAACTCTGATTGGCTGTGGCGCGGGGTCACATAAAATTTGCATTGCTCACATATATCAGACGTCGGTTATGAGAGGGTTCCGTTGGACAACGGGTGATACTCAGACTGAGGGATTGACTTTTAATACAAAGCAGATTGAATTTGGTGAAAAGCACGGGGAACACAGTTTTATACTTTTTAACATTTGTTTTTATTATTTTATTTCCCCACAGGCTATTGCAAGACAAGAGACTCTGCACATTCTACAAAAGAGGAAACATGAGAGAAAAGAGGTAAGAATATAATACAAAACCCGGCAGTCTGATTTTTGTTTTTAGTATTTTGTTTTATGATCGAAACGGTTGGAATAATCGTATGTTTAGATGTGATTTAACTAAAAAGCGGGAATCCAAAATGAAACCAAAATGCCAGAATCACTGGAATCAAAATGCTAACTTTTTGTTCAGTTCGCTCTTTTCACATAATAAACTTTACACAATAAAAGTAGCCGGTTCAGTGATCTGAACCCCGACACGGGAATCACTGAACTGGCTATATTTATTGTGTAAAGTTGCCAGATGGAGGCTCTGTGTGCCCAATGGCAGAGTGTGAAAAGAGCGAATAGGGCTGTCCCGAATATAACGAATATTCGATCATCAACCAAATTTTCAAATAGCTTTTTGCTGGTTCGAATATTTCAAAGATAAACAAACTACACATATGTACACACACGATCGTGATGTTATTTAATCGTAAAGTTGCTGCGCTTTATTGTCAGATGCCACTTTTTGTTGACAGTTACTTTTTTGGTGGACGGCAATTCATTGTTCCCATCCTTTTAGCAAGTTAAAGCCATTGACAGTTGTAACATACTGAATGCAAAACACTCCTGTGGCCCATAACATTGATCGCAGCTTGCGCTTTGCGTGCAACTTTTGACAGGTACGGCATGCAGTTGCAGCTGGCATTTGTAAACTTGACCGCTGAGTTTTGAATATTTGAATGTTCGGTCAATCGTGGTGTCGAATAATCAAATGCTAAATATTATATTACTCAAAACTGGACAGCCCCATTGTTCAAATGTATCGCACCATGCTCCAGTGGTTGCCCTGACTGACTCATGTGTGGAAGTATGCGAGTCTGAACACTGCCAGGGATCTTGGTGATTATGTCCTTGGGCCAGACACTTTACTGCAAGTACATTTACATTCCTATGGAAACATACATTCTGTGCCAAGTAGTCCTTTCAGTTACGAATTCCCAGCCTACATAAAGCAGGATTGACTGGCTGTGACTGTTCAAGTAACTTGATACAGCTATGCTTTGACTCCGGGTGAGTGGTAAAACAGCTGTGACTACAACTTGCCTGCTTTGTCTGTTGACCCAGTTTGACTAGTCACAGTGCTTGCTTGACATATGATCTGACTGCTGGTGACTAGCCTTGGTTAAAAGCATAAGTATAGCAGGTGAAGTGGAAGTGAATTTTGACTGTCTGTGACTGTTTAAATAGCAGGGGGTGGGTGGGAGGTTACAGGACACATTGCACTGATCTCATACTCGGACATGAAACTGATCTCTTGGCCTGAGGAACAGAGTTAACGTTCACACAAGCCGAATATTAATATTCAGGAAATTTTTCAGACTTTTGTCTGAAACCAGATTTTGTTTTTATCCGACAGAAAGACATTATCAGTATAGAAAGAAATGCATCTTTCAGACATTTCATCCAGTATTCAGATTTTGTTTTTGATTGACAATTTCATCCCTGAATATCATCGTCATCATCAAAACGTCATTTTGAGAACATCCCATCAATCATGTGTGTCTTTTATCTTTGCAGAAAGAGGCAATCTCTCACAGGCCGGCCCCACCATCATTGCTTGATGAAGTAGAGTAAGTGCCTGCATTTTTTTAAATCTACATGTGTACAGTATAATTTTTGCATTAGCCCATGCCTCATGCCTGATTTCTACTAAGAGACTTCCGCAGCCTTCCTCAAGGCTCACTGGGCAGGAAACAAACGATGGTGGTTATTTTATTTTTATTTTTTTACTCTAACTAAAGTAGGACATCAAGCACAATTTAAAGCCCCTTATATAGTAGAAGATGTTCTATCAAAATCAACGCATTTGCTACATGTTCCTTTCAAGTATTATACTAAGCATACTCTGAATGATGGTCTAAAAATAATAATATAATAATATAGTAATATGCACGTATCCGCCAGTACCAAGGTGCTACATCATTATTACTTTGCTCATTGGGCTAATATTCCACAGATAATCTCGGGTCCCTGGGGAATATACAGCTTGATACTGCCATTTTGGCTAGAATCAACCACAATAACCATTTCTTCCCTCACTGGTACCCATTTACTCCTGTGTGGGGAGAATCAATGAGTGACAAAGTGTCTTGCCCAAGGGGACACGCACCATAACCCCAGGCTGGACTCGAACCCACAACCTGCAGAATTACCTGCAGACCACGAATTCAGTGCTCCAGACCGCAAGGCCACGGCACTCCACAATGTTGTAATACCCGACATCCTGTCATGGAAGAAGCGTAAATTCCGAGAAAAACCCAGACATCTTTCATGAAATTTGATCCTGTCATGGGGATCCTGTAACACATGGCCATAATTGAAAGCTTACCGAGCAAATTACACGTTTCATGTCAATGTTATTTCCTTTCAAACAAAATATTTAATCGTTTTATCGTGACGGGAAATAATGTGCAAACATCCTGTGGAGAATGGTCCGGCGCGAGTTCGAGGAAAACCTAGGATTTAATGACGCTGAGAAATCTGATCTAGTACAAGGATAAAGTTACATATCCGGTGATTTGTGGAGATAAACCCACTGAATTACATGCATAATAAAATTGCAAGTCATTACATAGTAATGGTGTGGTGAAATCATCAATTCCTAGAAAGCAGGATTTGTTGTCTCCATTATTAGTCACGCAGTATGCATTTTAGATTTCCTTATGTGAAACTTTGAATTTAATGCACAATCCTGCTTTTTACAGACCTAATTGCATTTATAGACTACAAAAAGAAATAAAAACAAAAACAGCACGCAAAAAAAGACCCTCAAAAGCTGCCGTTTGTTTTTTTAAGCCCGGGAGGAGTGAAGAAAAGGTTCGGAAAAGGTTAAACAAAAATCATAAAGTGTTGTGAAGATGAGATCCTTAATGTAAAAAGTGAAGTCTTTTTCAGACAATTTTAAGCCAGAAATTGTGTATTCTGCCGGCCTGTGATGCAGTTTGCTAGCCACCTAATGTGACTCGGAACTTACCACCTGGCCGCCTAATATTTGCTAATAGCAAAAACAGGCTAGGAGCTACAGTACCTTCAGGCTTGAGATTTTTCAGGCTTTTTTTTTAATTTGGGAGAAAGACATCATCAGGCACCAATTTCATAGCACTGCTTAACAGTAAGCAGAAAAGTTGTGCTTACTATAGCAGAAAATCATGCTGCTGCTTAAGCACTATTTCATGCTAACGGTTGCACGCGCATGGAGATTTCTATTGTTACGTCACTGATTTAAGCAAAGTTTTCTTCTAGGGTTAAGCGTGCTTTTGCTGTGCTTACTGCTTAACGGTCCCTATGAAATAGATGGAGGCTCATTAAGCACAAAGTCGGCTGTTAAAGGGAATATACATCATTTGCTTTTGCTGTAATTTCCAGAAATGGATGGAATTGGGGGGTTGGAAATATATAGCAAATATAGTTACACTGACTTTTTTGAGGTTTTGGGTTTGAAAATGCTATAAACACCAAGAAAAACAATCATTTTCCTGTAGTCTGGTTCCCTGACTCCATATAAGAAGAAACAGAGCAGTTTACATACAATGGGGAATTGTAAGGTCAGGGAACCAGTCTAGCTGGCTTGTACCCGTTCATAGGTGTGTAATCGATTGCAAACAAGTGCAATGGTCAATTGGGGCCAGTATTTGAAAAAAAGCCAGTGTTTTCCAATGCTGGTCGGCCGACCAGCGTTGGAAATAGATACAAAAATACCACTTTTCTTGAAAATGACAGTATACCAGGTGCCATGATTTTACAGGATGCTTTACACTGTCATTCACTAACAGTCCAGCAAGGTATTTCAAAATGATTTGGTAGTTATATTTTTTGATGTTTGCAAATGTTGTATTTTCCCTTTAAGCAGTGCTATGAAATTGGGCCCAGTACAGAAAGAAATGCATCTTTCAGACCTATCAATATCATCCGATATTCAGACATGTTTTTAAATTGACCATCTCATCCCTGTAGCATTTCACATTCGTGAGTATTAAGCCCATCTGATTGATTAAGTTGCTTTCTCTGTCTTCAGTGAGTACGACGAGGCCGCAGAGCAAGAGGCAGCACAGGCCATGGCAGAGCTGGACTCATTCGAGCAGCGCATCACCCACGAGGGCAGCAGATGAGATACATGCATGATGAGAGCGTGTGTGAAAACCTGTCCCTCCATCCGTCCATTCACAAAAACTTTCCAGATCATTTGGTAACTTCTGATTGCCTGCAGCTGTGCCATGATGTCAGTATTTCTAGCTGATCAGATCTTTTTATGCTACTTGAGGGTTGAGTTGTTCTAAAGACAATCACAAGTCAAACCAAAAGTCAAAGTTTGATCGGTAACAAACAATGCCTGCCGTCCATTTAAAGATGCATTCCCCATGCTATTTTCGAGTTCAATCTCGAAATGTAGATTTTTGGTTTTTTTTGCAATTGCTATTTCCAAGCTATATAAAAGTTATTCACTTTTGAATGAGACATCAAATGAAAAAAATCCACCGACAATAATTCGGTACTCGCAGGGCGGGTACATTTGTGTGCAAAGTGAAACACCTTTTTTTTCAGGTGGTTGGAGATGCCCAAAATCGGAATAAAAGGAGTGTTTTTTGGTTGTTTACATGTGTGCTTTCTTATGGGAGCCTGGTGGGGACGACGGTTTCATAGCCCCGTAGAAAAGCACACAAGTAAACAAAGTGTGACGTCATCAGTACAGAGGATTATTTTCAAAGTTCACTTGAATAGCCTGTTACATGGTTTCTGACTTCATGACTTGTGATTGCCTTGTGATTAATTCTATCGGCAGTTCAAGCGTTCCTAATGTCTCAGCTCTTGTCATGTGCAAGCATCTCTTTGACTTAGCAGTGGCGGATCCAGGATTGCGGAGGGGGCGCTCTCCGCCCCCTCCCCCCCCCCCCCCCTTTCCAGCAGTGACCAAAATTGTATCAAATTAGGCCATTTTTGACTTGAGAGAGCCCTTCTGCCCGCCATTCGGCACATCCCCGACCCAACCTCTCTGAAGCACTGGCGTAGCCTAAGGGGACCACTCCCCCCCCCCCACAAATTCCCACCCTCCCCCCCCCCAAAAAAAAAATTCTGAAATGTCCCGCTTGCCAAGGAAGTGTTTCTTAATAGTATTTGTTTGAGTTATTAAAAGAGAAGAGGAATCTAAATGGCTATTTTTTATTTACTTGGAACCGCACGGCTTTATAAAATATGAATAAATTGAAAAGAAAAAAGAGCACTCTCTAGCGTCCAAAGAGGTCCCCCCCCCCCCTCAATTTTTCGAATTAGCAGCACTAGCAGTGGCCTGGCCATTTTGGGGGAAATATTTTTGTTTGATCCACCCTTGATGCCCCCTCATAACATGCTGGTGACCCCTGCCCCCCCCCCCCCCCCCCCTACTGAAAAAAGCAATCCTGGCTACACCACTGCTCTGGTGCCGCCCTTGCTTACTGAGGACCAGTTTCATGAAACTATAGCACATCATTTTTGCTGTGCATAAAACAGTTTTTCGACAACTGTTTCTTTTTTCAATTCAGACCATTGTACATCTTGGTAAATGTTCTCACAAATGACATACAAAAATTACCTTTGAGTTTTAGTGAACTAATTAATTATTTTTTTTAGTAATAAACGTACATGTAATAGAGGATTTGAAAGACCAAAAATTCAAATAAAACTTTGTATAATGTAAATATTGTTTTGAAGTGTGGTTGGCAATGGCAATGACATGCATGAGGTGTTTCGAATGATTGCAAAAACATCCAAAAACTTATGACAACAGCTCGGCACTGTTGCAGATGAATATCGCCCTCTGTTGGCTTGATATCTCCAGTTTCTCTGTTGATTATTTTGTGTTACTGTTTGTAAAATTGTATCTTGAGAAAAGTGTGCATTTTTGTAAATATCGATGTATAATATTTTAAGGCTTAATTTCTTTATACATGTACAGTATTACCAGCCTTGAGTAAGGCCCATTTGAAATGGGAACTTGAAGATTAAAAAAAAAGTAATCTTTGGGGAATAATAAATATTAGACAATACAATGTACTAATATTGTTGTGGAATTATGGGTAGGTTTTTGTGTGTGAAATGTCCAGAATAAACATAATACCGGCGTAAAGCTTATGTTGTCAACCAGTGCATGGTCTTTATACACTGTTATAGAAGATTTTTTGATGGCCGATAGGCTCAAGAAAAAAGTACATTCTATGGATGTTTTGGCGCTCTCTGGTGAGGAAGTTGTTGAAACGTGAATGAAATGTCAATAGGACGAACTGCAATGCACAATTTAGTGTAGGGTTATTTGCTTTGCCTCAAGGCTATTTATAGCAGGCTTTTTATATCGGCACGTTAACTATGCTCAGTACCATTCGTGAGCTTGTAAGAAAAGTAAGGCAGGCTTTCCAGTACATGTATTCCTACTTTGTTCTATTTTCTTTTCTTTTTTACTTAGCTCCTACTTTTCCTACTCTTATCTTAAAATGCCTACTTTTTCCTACTTTTTCCTGTTGTCTCACAACTCAGACAGATGAAATCTAATTGAATATTATCATTTTGGGAGGGCTATAGGTGAACAATTTCCCCCCCCCCCACATTCTATGATAAATTATGTCTCAATATGATGCAACACATTGTAATAAAAAATGAAACACGGACTCCTTTTCATTTTCCATTTCTTTATTATTATTTTTTTTCTAACAGCAAACGTTTGCCACTTCAAATAGGCGACCTCTTAAAAATCTAAGGCCGTATAGTCTCTTAATGATAGTCATACAACCTCGTAACAATGTGATCATTAATATTTTACAGCAGGTTATCAAATGCGGAGGTTACGAAAATACAACCCCCGTCCTCTTTTATTGGAAACAATGTTTTTGATTTGCCATTTTGCAACGTTTATTGACGGCTTTGCAAGTTTACGAAACATCGGCTTTTTTGTAGTGTGAGCTACAATTCTCTCTGAACATTGGCCCTGCGTTGCAGGATTTGATGTCCGCGAAGCAGAAAGTGTGCCCAGAAAGTGCGTCTCCTTCCGAAGCCGAGTCTGGAGACAAAACTGTGATTCTAGAAATGCCACAGTAAGGTCTGTACGTTAACAATGGATATGTGACCGCTATTGGTCTCGTTCACCCAAAACTAAACCCGGGCCAACTTTTCCCGGTGTCATATGGAATTTGGACTCCAACGAAATTAGGTTATTTTTTTTAACCTTATAATGGACTCAAACGCTCACACGTGACCTGTCACTGTCAAACTTATCTTATAGGCATGCGCAATACAACCAAAGAGTCCTTATTTCATGGAGTCCAACTTTCAAAGTACACCGGCGCTGCGCTTCCAAGCACAAAAGTTCCTGCTCACTGCGTTGATATTGGTCCATTTTATGGAGACCGCAACGTAAAAAAAATACATTTCTCAGTCTTAAACAGCTCCACGAATTAGCCAAAAAAATGTAGCCTAAATCTTTTGAAACCCTGCAACTTATTCCAGAAGACACACATACTGACTTTTGCTCCCTGGAGTGAAAAAAAACCCATGGAAACAGTTTTACCATAATCGTGAAAGTCCGCATGTGTACTGAGTATCTATAATTAGCTCTCTTGTTCATAATATTATTTAAAATGTAACCTGCTAAAATTAAACACGCTATTTTATATCATTTTACATGTACTTAAAACGGCACATCTGGGAAGACATGTAACACATTACATTTGCATAGGAAAAAATGTCCAGATCCTTCATTGTATCTGATATCATCGTTTGTCGGGTCATTTTAATGGCAGAAGAAAAGCAAATACGTATTAAGGTATACGCAGTCATCGTTTATTTATAGTTACAAAGAATGAAAGGATGTCTTGCGCGTGAAGTTTGCAAGAAAATGAAATTGTGGCCATCTTTGTATAGTTCTTGGTCGCTTTTGTCCCAGTTTCTCGCTGAAGTCCGTCAAGGGCGGATCCGGGGGGGGGGCAACGGGGGCCTTGCTCCTCCCCCCCCCCCAAAAAAAAAACCGAACCCAATTTTTTTTTTTTTTTTGGGAAGTGACGTCGCAATAAAGGCAGGCACTGCGTACACCACCATCTTTTCCTCAAAAACAATTGGTCAAAGTGGTCAGAAATTGCCTCAGATCGCACCACAGAGCATCTACAATCCAAACAACATTTCGGGGCCCGCGGGGACCAAATTTTTCCTTTTTTGGCCCCCACCAGAAGAAAACAAAACTGTGTTCTGGATCCACCCTTGTAGTCCGTCGTGGGTACCTGTCTATTTTTGGAATATCGAGCCTCATTTTGAGTTTCGTAAAAGAATGCAAGAAATTGAAACGAATTAAAAATGGCAGGGAAAAAGATACTTCGATACGCACAGTAACTATTCATCTTGAGGATTCTGTCCAAAAAGAACCTTACATAAATCTAAAGGCAAAGTAGTGTCACAATACTCCAAAAGTTGACATGCGCATTCCTAATTTAGTATTGTCAACAAGATTAAAAATAAAAACTTACAATGAACTTATGAGGAAAATATCGGCCAAACACAAAACTTAAACCCTGTTTGTCCAAACTCTACAATTACACAATAAATCAACACTTGCTTACTTTAACTGTTCAACAAATTAACCCCACGACTGCAAAGAAACTTCGCATTATGTAATCATTATCTGAGCTCGGAATTTTTAACATTGCTTTTGTGATCTACACAGAATTCAAATAATTATAACTCATTTAATAAAAAAAAAATCGAACCAATCATCTGCGAAGAAAAATGCAGTCACTTTTTTTTACATCACGGAATTCTTCCTTAAAATGCCATTTCTATTTTCGATATGTAGCTGTCTCCATAGAGATATTAAAGCATTGTCACCTTTTTTTTAACCCTCTTCTATGATTAGGGGAAATTGGAAAAAGTGGAAGACGGTTTTCCCAATTCGAATTTCCCACGCTATGCTGCCTGTAAAATATGGCAGTACAACAAACAAGTTAAATTCTCCCTATATTCGAAACATTTTGTTAATCATCATTGCATGATAACAACAATAGTTACAGTCCGTGTCAGCCCTGGTCTTTTAAAACTTTTTTGTTAAAACTGTTTTACAAAAAAAAAGATTTTGCACACACATCACATTCAGGTATAAAAGCTTCCTAAATTTACAAAAAAAGTCTCGTATTATTGTGACAGGTTGTCTTCATTCTGTCAATTCTGTGTGCTCGTTTTTGAATTATTTACACCACGGCACGTCGAAGTTTGACTGGTCTCTGTACATTATATCACAGCAGTGGTTTTGGAAATAGGGCCGCTGTTTCCTTATAAAACTTTGGGATTTTGTTTTCATACAAACTCTAAACTCTACCATCGTGATATTTTCAGCTATTATATATACGTTCCGTTTTTATTTCGTCAGTCTCGTGTACAAAATAGTATACAACTATGAAATCGTCAGTCATGTCGGTCATGCTGTCATCAGTCTTTCCTATATACATGGTCCTATATCATTGCTATCCTGTGCCCCTCGCTACAAAAATAAAAAATAGGCTAAATTAAAAAAAAAAAGAGTCCCAAAATGATACTGTCTGATTTAATAAAGTGCGTTAATATTCATGCCACCAAAATTGTAGGAAATCCGACACTAGTATTACCTCTGCTCGACAGGACCACAACCTACAGAACTTATTAAGATTCATATGACGCCAAGTACCAGCCACAAGGCAGTTTTAACAGTGTTTTAGTCATGTTTTAACTGGTAACCGTCTACTTGCGTTATAAAGCTCCCCTGTCTGTGTAACACCATCCCCATATATAGCCGCTATCTCGAGATTGAAAGTAAACCCTGAGAACGATGTTGATGTCACTGGTGTACAGTTGTAATTCTACAAGAATACTGTAACTAATAAAGTCGTGGACACTTCCCTTAAAGTGACTTTAGACTTTTCTGTCAGGTCGGTGTATAGTGTTCTGATTCTGTCATTTCTAACTCTTGTCCACGTTAAAGTCTGTCGTTCTGTTCGTTACACTGTCGTTGGTCTAAGTCTTATAGTCTGTCACAGCACAAGAAACCTGGAAAGTGCTGGTTATAGGCCCATCTGTCGTCAAGTCAGAATTACCGTGGAATGAATTTCAAACAGTGTATTTTAGGTTGTTACATCATGTCATTTCCCTCAAAATAATGAAGTCGTAACCCAACAAAACTACTTGGAAAAATACGTGATTTACCATTACATGTATTATTTTTTTTTTTACAACAAATAATGACGTCCGTAACGTGATTCCAAGTATTTGATTTCAGCTCCTACCTATCTTCCTCCACACATTCATAAAAAAAGATACCAGAAGCAGCTTTTTTCGTGAAATTACTCTCTGAATTCACAAGTTGATAGTACCAGGACTCCATCTGTATTAATTTTTATAATTTATTTCACTGTTCAGTTCAGCTGTGTTTAGCCACATTGCCAAACGTTATACTTCTTAGTCGATATTCTCCGTTGGAGCACCGGGGTTCGAACCCACGAACCCTTAGGCACCAACGTTCAAGTGCTAACATTACACTGACTGTCTCAACTAGTAGCCTCTCTGAAATCACAAGTTGAATTCCTTGGTGCCCAACTTAATAGCAGAACTACCGATACGAAGTTCCGTATATTGGCCATGTCGACACCTGAGGATCCTCTTAATTAGGCCATTGTGTACTTGCAACTTCTTTGCTGTCCAACTGCAAAAGTGGGATTCAAACCCAGGACCCCTCAAGAGTTTGTTTTAATGTTTCACAAATCTTGTTGTCAAACCCTACATTAGGGGTCTTCCTAATACATTTGGTTGTAATGTAAACCATCTTGTTTACTTGTTTCTTTATTGTCCAATCATGAGACTGGATTTCGAACCCGAGACCACTGAACCTCCACTCAAGTGCTTCACCAGAATTTATCCATCGAGCCGCCTGACATCCGTAGTCAATATTATTATTCTGCATATGCTCCCTCCTACCGATTCTAGTAGCCTTGTTGCGAGGCCGGGACTCGAACCAAAGACATCTTAACAACTTTGTTTTACCTTTAGTAATCCATCAATCCCTACATTGGCGTCCTTCCCAATAGCCCATTATAATGCATTCGGTACGTCTTTGTTGTCCAGTTTTAAGACCAGGACTACAACCCAAGACCACTCAACTGCTATCCAAGTACTTCACCCTATGTTATCCATCGAGCACTACACTGGCGTCTTCCCAAATAGTCAACTATAATGTATTCGGCATACTTCTTTAATGACAGCTGTTGGACCAGGATTCCGACCCATGACCTCAGAACTCAACTCAAATGCTGTACCAAATGTATCCGCTCAGCTAATGGTAATTTTTTGCTTCGGTCTTGTTTGTTTGTTTCCTAATCTGTCTGTCTGTCTGTCTGTTTTTGTTGGGTTGCGTGCTTTCCTGTGTGGCAGTCCGTAACTGTTGTCTCAGTCAGTGTGGCAATGTGTGTTCTTGTCATTCGTCCATTGCACAATAATCATTATTCTCTTATGACTGTTGACCGTCTTTAAAAATGCTTACAAAATATTTTGTCACTGAACAGCATTACTGTTACTATACGTATCATCAAATTCATAAGAACACTGCTTTTTTGGAATTCTTGTTATACAAGAACATTTTGGTTTTTTCTGTAGAACTCAAACAGTCACAAATCAACTGAGGTCCGAAAGAAACATTCAAATGTTTAAAAAATAACGTCCCCCCCCGCCATCCAGAACAAAAAACAGGTACAATGCTGGTCATGTTTATAGAAGAATAGCAAAAGTCATAAAACATGGGTGGATTTATATTGCTATTGCTTGTTTGTGTGTGGAACTGCAGTGCCCTGCTCAACATGTCTCGAAATGGCCGACACATGACGTTTTGATTGATGAAAGTTGTGGGAAGGTAACTGCGTTCGCAAAAATACTGTGTGTAAAAGTGTAATGACGATACCCAATTGTGTCCTTCAACAATTGAACAAATAAATTGAGGACATGGAAATCAGAAGAACAAAATTCACCTTGGTCAAAGTATTCAAATACATGCGCATAGTTTTATGAAACATTTCTTCTCTAAGCATTCAACTTTATGTTAAGGAGGCTGCCCCATCATCAACAGGACGTCGAAGACATTCTAGACCCGCCCATCTCCTCGCCCCGCCTCTCCAGCCAGATGACCTCCCCGCTGTCGTCCTCGCCTTTTAGCGCGGGGAAGGTCAGCGAGGGCGCCCTGGTGTTTGGCGAGCGGTTGCCCACGGAGATGCGGCCGGGCACGGAGAAGGGCCGGCCGTTGCCCCGGGACCGGCCGGGCCCCCGCTGCCGGAAGTTCTTGGGTCGCAGCTGGGGAAGCTTCTCCGTGGAGGCCTCGGGAGCCGGCCTCTGACTGTCCTGCTGCGGAGGTAGGGAAGATGAAGTGACCACCAAGGGTTTGGAGCGGTCTGAGGAAGCAGTCCGGGCGGTGCCCTCGGGAGAGGTACCACCCAGGGAGTTGGCCACGGGTTCACTAGCCACGCCTAACTCTATCAGCGGATGCTCGCTGTGGTTGCTGTACGCTGGATCCTGCTTCTGTTTGCCAGAAATCAAGTTCGGATCACCGCTTGAAGCTTCGGAAGCAGGTACAGAGGCATCGTCCGTGCGACGGTTCAAGGATCTGGCGTTTGCGCCTGGATGGGTACCGGGGTAAGCGACAGGCCGACTGTCCCTGCTGACAGGGCGAGACTTGCCCAGAAGACACTCTATGATGGCCGCCTTCTGCTCGTCAAACTTCCTCTCGATGGCTCCAAGTTGTTTGTACAAGCCATCAATGCGGCCATGGATGGCGTTGTTGTCCACATAACACCCGACGTTATTGTTGTCCAGTCCGGCCGTGCCCGCTTTAGGGCTGATCGGGTGTAAGGAGGAGGTGACAGCGCCCTCTGGCGCCTCGCGGTTGCCAAGCGACGACAACGGCGCGGGTTCGTCCGTCGGACGCCCCGTCTCTCGGATGATGGAACGTCTTTGGTCTGTGTGTTTGCTGCCCCCACGCGGCGGCTCGGTGTAATGTCTATACTTGCGTTGCATAAGGGGAACCTCTGGGTCGCTCTCTTCTCTGTCCTCCTGGCCTTTGGTTTCTATGGACACCACCGTGTCTGTGATGGTGGGACAAAATGAGAAATGCATTAGCAGGGATAAATCAAGACTTAAGCCTGGTTCCATATCGACGTTAAGCTTATGCATGACTGCGCAGACAGTGCGCGGAATCGTCTGCGAGATAGTTTGCGTCTGTCTAGGTTGTCAGCGACATTTCCGGGTGAAATGTTTCCATACGTCTGCGTTGCAGTTTGGGTCTTGTTTGCTTTCATGCGCTCTGCGGTTCTTATCTCGATGTGGAAACTAGGCTTTAGTATTAGTTTCCATATCGAGGTAGAAGACGCAGAGAGCAACGCAAACAAGACTCAAACTGCAACGCAGAGATATGGAAACATTTCACCCGCAAATGTCACCGACAACAGGGACAGACGCAAACTATCTCGCAGACGATTGGAAAATTTGAACCGCGTTCAACTTTGCCGACGGTTCCACGCACTGTCTGCGCAGGGGGTCTACCCGATGTTCCCCAATACCGATGTTCCCCGAAATCCTTATAGGATTAGGATTAGGGTTAGGGTTAGGGTTTATAGGGCTAGGGTTATAGGGTAGGGATTTCGGAGAACATCGGTATTGGGGACCATCGGTATTGGGGAACATAGGTATGCACCCTCTGCGCAGTCTGCGAAGTCTGCGTATGCGAAGTCTGCGTAATGGAATAAGGAGACTAGGCTTTAGACCTGCCATATCAAACTCTACGATGTTTTTCAAGGCAAGTTGAAAGTTGTCTTGTATATTATGACATGTGTTTGGTTAGATGAATATGCTAAGCGAAGACGTTTGCTATATATAGCAAACACATCTAATATTAAGCAGCACCATTATGACACCCAAATGAAATGTTATTACATCCGACTGATTCCCATCAGGGAGTTTCGTTTTATGTGCATAATATTTGTGTAGCCTCTTCCTGAACTCGGGCCATTGATTTCTGCATAGAGCTTTTGCTTGGCAGCCATCTTGAAGGTGTGATTGCACTGTTTTTTTTCGCATAGGATACGCAAGAGTTGACCTCCTGTGCATTTGCTTTACCGAATTAAAGCTCAAAATGGCGATTGAATGCAAATGGTCCATTCTCGATCTCGTGGCGCATAAGTATAATTTCAAAAATAGAAAAAAAAATGTTCATCTACCAATTTTGCTGGGCTTCTTTTTCCACTTGCCGCTCTGGAATGTAAAAGACGAGTCAATCCGACTGGTCTCCGAGCCGGTCCTGGAAGCCACCGTCTCGGTACTCGGGCAGGGAGTCAGCTCCACCCGGCCCCCTCCCCCGCCTACTCCGCCCTGCTGCTGCCGCTGATGCTCCAGGTTCTTACGGGCGGCCTGGGCCGCGGCCACCACTGCCGAGAAACGACGGTTCAGCACCGTCTTGGCGCCAGGCCAGTGGTTCATCTTTGGGGCGATGTCTGGTACGATCTTATCCAGCTCGGTCTGGAGAGAAAATATCCCACAATGTATTCATTTGTTTCGTTGAGGTTAAGATTATATTTAAAGACGGATGCAGCCAATATTTTGTCTCCTGCTGCTCTTATTCAAATTGAAGCCCATAAAAGATTACACCAGAGTTTGTCAACTGGAACATTTGTTTAGTAAAACAGCCCGAACAATATGTGTTTTATAACACAAACAAACACATCTAGTTCGTTGGTCTTTTTTTTCTTTTGGTTGTTTTCATTTCGTTTTGTTAAGTTTTTTGTTATTAGGAATACTGAGAAACCGTATTCGTATCTTTGTTTTAATTTCTTTTTTACTGTATATCACACACAATTTAAGCGAATGAAGCAGTATGTAAAAAAAATAACATATTACAGTTAACATTATTTTTTTGCGGCCAAGCAGATTTTAAAAAACAAAGCATGATAAACTGAAACTACCCCCATTCTTTCACGGTTAGGTAATACATTTCTCTTTTTTAGTGTATTTCTTGAGGTAAGGATATTCATTTCATATTCCTGATTAGCAGTAGAAGCTTTCCTCAACACTTCTCGCATACTGCAACAGTTGAAAATACAGAGAGATTATCATATTTTGTCGATCTTTAAAAAAAAAAAGCCAGCCTGCATTCTTAATGCAAAACGAATGCTCTGGAAAGCTTTCCACCCTATTTTAAGACTCTGCCGAATTTACTGGGATTTTACATTTTCATTTAACGTCAATCTGTAATGTATTTTTGACACCTACATCTCGCATGTCGATGGTGACCTCCACCTTCTCAGCAAAGTGCTGCCGGAAGTCCGGATACATCTTGATGACGTCCATCAGATCCTCCCGATACAAGGTCAAGAGGTCACAGTAGGTCAATGCCCTGACCGTGCCCTTTGACCTGCCCACCAAAGGCCGCTGACAAAAGTTTTCGCCCACAACGTCGTTTTTACCTGTTGTTTGGAAACGCAAAACAAAAACCTACATTTAGGACAACGAGTCTTGTCATCAGTTTGAACAACGTGATGGAATAAAATGATCATACAGTCTAAAAGCAGCTTTTACAGTGAACAGAAACAAACACAAGAACGGTTTGAAACAGCTCGAAGTCTATTTTTTTTTTTTTTTTATAGATGACTGCAATAAATTAATGCCAGCTTTATTGAATGTATCAAACAGTATCCGCTCCGTTCACAAGTACCCCCTCACCGGCAAAGAAAGTACAATTGAGGGTGACCAACCGACGCCATCTTGTCTGACTGCAATTTTGCCGTATTTTGCCACTGCGTGTACATAGTACAATCCCCTGGTGTACGTGCGGCACACACAAGAAACGTTGCGCGTCCATAGGCCTAATTATCATCATTCCCATCAGCACCGCACCCCAAAGGCTTGTGTTTCTTGTTTGCTGAAGAAGTGCACTTATTTGTTTTTATGTAATTGGCATTTAACTTGGTATGTCCCTGATGAATATTGGGTGTGCTGTGCTAATTTTAAAAGGCCGTAACCTGAAATCATTTCCAGTTTATGGGGGGTGGGGGGGGGGGGTGGTACCATCTTCCAAAAGGGGGCGCTCTTCAAAACTTACCATTATTATGCATACTGGATAATGTATGCCGATTGTTAGGCCGCAATCTAATGGTTTTGGAGCTTGGTTTTCTTTTTTTTGGGGGGGGGGGGTCATGTCAGATCTCGCTAACCATTTATGAAAATAGTTACTGAAAAAAATATCTTTCAAAAAAATATGACACTGAGTGAAAGTCGGCACAAGATCAGTAGTGGATCTAGAGGGAAGGTTGGATGGTTGCAGTTTCAAAATAGGATTGGTACATATTGAGAGCTGTTCCAGGCCTTCAACATTCAATGTTTCAATCTTCGTGGGCACGGGGAAATCCAGAGCACAGTCACTGTCCTCACTCCTCACCTAGTATTGCCAAGACAACATTGCCCCTGAGGATCTCCAGCGAACCCCGGGATATGAAGTACATCTGGTTCAAGCTGTCTCCCCGGTGTAAGAGGATGTCTCCGGGGGCCGTGTGGGTGTTCTGGAACTTGACAGAGAGCGCCCTCAGGCAGCCGTGCTCCACGCCTTTGAAGGCCGGCGAGCCGTTCAGGAGGTTGCGGTTCAGATGGAGGGAGATGTCGGCCTGCAGGAAGTCGGGGAAGTCTTTCATGACCTGGAAGAAAGACAAGGGAAAAAGAAGAAACAAAAAGCAGAAGAAACCCACAAGGGTTACTTATTGTTGTGTTGGGATAGGGGATATTGCTAACTACACAAAAAAACTGCATCTTGCAGTGCTGCAGTAGATGGAGTGTATATCACAGGACATTTTATATTTATCATTCATTTCATATTAGGGTAATACGTTACTGACTTGTTTTTTGTTTATTTCTAATTTATCATGGGGAGACCTTTCAGTGGAACACTGGTTTGTTTTTTTTACAGGTGCCAGCAGTTACAACATACATACGGAGTATAAAAATAGAAAAAAGCAAAGAAAAACCTTACAAAGATGTAATTACGAAAATTAATGAACGGAAAAATGAGACAAGGTTGATCACGGTAAATCACACTGAGTCGTCACATATAGTTTCACATCGAAATTGGGTTTTTTTGTACATGAAAACTTGTTCACTTTTGAGGGAGACATCGAACGAAAAAAAAATCCACCGACTTAAGTTATTGAATTATTTCTTACAAAATTGGACTAATAAGTGGTTCCCAGACAATATAATTCGACTTTAGCAGTACATGTTCATTATTTTGTTCAGTTGTGCGGAAAATGGAATCCCATTTTCAGAGGGTTGGGTACGCTCAAAATCGGAATAACGTATTTGTTTTCGTTTAAACAAAATATAAAAATTAAACATTTGTTGGGATAATTTTATGTAGAGCACGGGGTACATATGCGAAATTTAATAATGTACTTGAAAATTACTTTTGACCAGACCTGCAATTGACTTGTGATCACAACACTGGGAACTTAGACACATATTATGTTCCAATGAGAAGTATAGTTGCATGTAGTTTACAGTGGCGTAACTAAGGCACATCAACTTATCATAATTTTGAGGAAAAAAATACAGCTTTGTATTGTTGGAAAACCACACCAAACCACTCAGTTCCCCCTCCAGAAAATAATATAAGGTTTTGATTTTATTTTACGGTAGCTATCACGCAACACCCTTCAACTTCATAAATTTCTGGAATGCCCGGCTTTGTAAATCAAAATTCTGTTGCCAAGGAACAAGACAGAGCCATCATGGCAGTAAGCTACAGTGCGGGCACTTTAAACAATCTAATTAAAAACGAAAATTCACCACCAAGTATATTATTATAGACGACATACTGTACTAGGCCCAATACTGTAAACAACATTTGTCATGTTTCGACCTGTGCCACTGTACGTCAATCGACACCCACTTGACTGACAGCAGAAGTGGGCAGAACCCTGAACTGGGAAGGCCATAACTAGATATCCAGCACCAAACCGCTTCGAGTGACGAGACATCAAGTGGTCTGATATCTGGGTCGCATAGCAGGCCCACTTCATTGAGGTGGGTATTATTTCGGAGTGAGATCACCATAAGTAGCAAATGTCATGGAGTCGGTGCGAAATGGTGCAGTTATATTAATTATGTTCGACGTTTGAAAATTGGCAGCGCGCATCATTGTCATTAAGCCCGGTTCATACTTCACGCGAAAGCAAGTGCGAAGCGAAATTCATGTCGTCAACAATGGTGGACGCGCTTCGAACGTATTGTTGACGTCACGAATTTTGCTTCGCTTTCGTTTTCGGGTGAAGTATGAACCGGGCTTTACGTCACAAACTCTACGTTCGCGTTTGCATTCCTCTCCCTGGATAAACCTAGTCTTTATCCAGACGTTCACGTGGGCAGAACCACGGTACAAACGTCTGATGTATCATAGCATGTCAAATGTATGCGGCCCGTGCGCAGCCAATCGCAGTGGTCATTAGAAACTGTGACGTCATTTCGATCAGAAATGTGGACTAAGCTGTGGATTGGTCAATCTGGATGCCATGTTTTTGTAATACAACGGGTTACGGAAGACCCGACAGAAGGCGCCCGCTGAATGGTCAGAATCTCGAGGTCAAGACGCAGTCTTGATTTGCATAATTAATCACCGAATCTGCTCGCATATCATAGACCCTTGCTGTGCAAGAGGATATTCCATAGACTAGGATAAACTGAGGTGGAAGGGAAAAGATTGATTGTTCTAGGTTTCAGTCGATGCAATGAAAAAAAAATCTCCTGATATAAGAAGAGCTGATAATAAGAAATAACTTCCTAATGTTCTGCTTACATTAAATTAGTTGTTTACATGTATTTTCCCGCTTCACTTAACAACCTTTAGTGAGCTACAAAATTAAAGCGCAAAACTATTATGAATTCCTCTTTGGTATATCTTTGCTGTAAGACAATTTGTAGGGTTCCCCCATGGACATCTTTGGTATCCCAAGCTATTTCACGAGGTGAGAAGAAAGTGGAGTGTCTATTTAGCTAATGGACATTTTGTCCCGTGTGATTTCCAAGCGGCGACCGCCGTGTGAGCGTTTTTTTCAGCGAGACGGCGTGGTGGCTGCACCGGACCCGTGTGTGCACGTCTGGGCGCAGTTACAGCCGTTAATGGAGGGTAGCGCTGCGGTGTGTGTGCTTTGACAGTTTCGATTCGACGCCAAAAGTGTCGATGTGGAATTGGGCGTTATAGGTTGTGACGTCAGCGTGTCCTGTGATGCACGTGCGGCACTTTCGATTAGGGGAATCGGTTGGGTCATTGCGCAGGCGCATACGACCTAATTACATACGACCTGGGCTCGATTTTTATTGAGTTCCGTAATTATCTTAAAGCATAATTTCCCGCTCTGGACATTAAATAAGCGAGGACGTTTTGACTTTTTGTTTCACTCAGATGTATTAGTTCTGATTCTCGATCCGAAAAATAAACAATTTCCTGTTGAATTTGTCAACTGCAATAATTAATTTCTCAATGAGAAAAGCTGTGGACATAAAAACAACATTTTCACAACTAGTTCTCTCAAAACCATTGTTTTACTGAAAAGATGTGCGTATAAATACGATGCTTTCCAGATTTTTTTTCTTGTTATTCACCTTGAGTGACAGGTTCCCTGTACCTTCAAACTGTCAAAGTTGTAACAGGTAAATCAATAATTGTTTGCTCTCCAACCAGAATATAGCGATTATTCGAATATTTGATAATCAACCGAATCTTCAAATGGCCTTTTGCTGATTTGAATAATCGAAAGAACGAAAACTACGCATGACACACACGACTGTGATGTTATTTTACTCGTAAAGTTGCTGCGCTTTATTGTCAGATGCCACTTTTTGTTGACACTAACTTTTTTTCCCGACGTCCCGGTGGTTCATTCTTTCCATCCTTTTAGCAGGTTAAAGTCTTAGGCAGTTATGCAATATTTGCTGCAGAACACTCCTGCGGCCCATCATGGGCGTCGCCAGGATTTTTTCTAGAGGGGGGCAAAACATATTTTTTTCCCTAACAATTCTTGTATTTCTCAACAAATTCTCGATTTATCAGTTTAAGAGGGGGGCAGGGACATCCCCCCCCCCTCATTAAATTTACACCACTGTGACTTGGCGCCTCTTTTTCTTTTCTTTTTTTTCTATTTTTTTTGTGTTTTGTTTTGTTTGTTTGTTTTTATTTTTTGCTTTTCCGGGGGGGGGGGGGAAGCGCCCCCTTGCCCCCCCCCCCCCTCGCGACGCCCATGCAGCCCATAACGTCGATTGCCGTGCGCACATTTTAACCGGCGTGATGTGCGTGCAACGTTTGACAGTACAAGTGCGCGGCATGCAGCTAGCTGGCATGAGTAAACGTGACCACCGATTTCGAATATTAGTTTATTCGGTCAAACGCATCTGCCGCTAGTTGCGGCCCTGGCTCGTAATTAACTTATGATTGACTGCAACTCCGGCAGTTGGTATATATATATTAACACGGGTTATAGAAAAGCGCACTTGCTTTGTCAACCTCCTGCATGTGATCGACTACAACCCTGCATGTCGGTATTAAATAACCCGGCTTACATCAGCCAAACCTTCAACCCGGTTTAATTAATCCGGTTAAAACCTTCAACCTGGTTCGACTAACCTCGTCAACCTCTTGCAAGTCGTTGCCGTTGGAGTAGACCCAGGCGTGTTTGAAGTACTCCTGGAGTCGTCGCCGCAGCGGGTGAGGCACGTTATGGAACTTGACGAACTCTTTGACTAGGGTGAGCTGCTGGTGGTAGCGGGCCATGCCCTCGTACAGTCGCTCGATGATGGCCGTCATGTTACCGAAGATGCAGGCGAACATGAGTGCTGAACATGCAAAAAACAGGTGAATTGTAATCATGTCTGCTATTTTGGAAAATGTTATTATGTTTGATGCTTGTGGAGTTTTATGCTGTGGGGTAAGTTACTAGTTATATATTTTAGAAGTTAAGTTAGCCATTTATTTTATTAAAACTATTCCCAACCCATTCAATGTCCCCATTATTAAAAAAAATGTATAATGGCACTATTTGCATACTGTGTACTAACAGTCAACAAGCAGTAAGCAAGCCTTTTAAGACAAACACATTTTGCACCATGGAATCTACTCTCATTACCCGGATGAATTCAAATGACGTAATTTGCATTCGGCGACACACATAATATTAGCCGACGTCGATTCAAGCGCTTTCAGATTAAGTGGTTACGATTGGCAATATACTTAACACACACGATATAGGATATTCAGCCGCTTCCATAGACCCTTTTACGGATAGCCGCCAAAACGGAAGTGTTTAGTCAAGGTATATATTACACTGCATTGTGGGACAGTTTGCGCTGCGCGTAATCCTCGTTCGTCGCGGTGCACACTCTCCCGGGATGCAACGCGCAGCATACCTTCACTGCACTTTTCTGATCTATCCGTAAAAGGGTCCATGTCAGCGTGGCACTCATCAAATTTGAAAATCCAAAGATGACCGCACAAAAATTGCCCCGATTTCCCAAGATATCAGCATTATGTATCAAAATAGCAGCAGAGACCCTATTTTTATGTGAATGGGGCTCAACAAGTGCTCAATTAACATTTTGCGCATGTGCAATCCGTACTTTCGTGTGTTCTCAATGGGCAAACAAATCCCAAGTCTCAGCGAAACGGTCCCAATCCCTGGTCTAAATTCCCAAGATCTTGGGAAAATTCACAAGGAGTGGCCACGCTGGTACATGTGCGGCGATTTGGCGCGTGTGTGACTGACGACAGTGCGTAACAAAGTAACTAGGGTGTGGCCTAACTCGGTTCGCATTCTGGGAACCACCCGTACTAGCATACATTTTAATGGAAATTTGCAAACGGCGCTACTCACAGCCAACCAGCATCATGCATATGGCGAACATCTTCTCCACGTCCGTGGTGGGTGCCACGTTGCCGAAGCCCACCGTGGTCAGGATGGTAAGCGTAAAATACAGTGACGTCACGTACTTGGATTGCGCCGACGGCCCTCCCGTTTCGTCTTCCTGTATGTCAGAATAGAAAACAAAAAGTTTATTCATACATGATTATTTATGAGCTCAATGTTTATTCATGATGTATGGACGGCTCCTCCCACTTTGGATTGAGGTTGCCGGAACCCATTCCTTATACATCCACAGACAGAGAATTCTCGCACCAAAATTCTTACATCGGACATATGATATCATGTCCCCATCATTTCAAATCCCTTGCACCATCTGTGCTGTGTACTGTTGAATAACACCCTTTCTGTTGTATCCCATAATATAAATATCTCAAAATCTGTTATTTCTGCCTTCGTTTGTACTTGTGTGTTGTTTTGTTAACGCAGGTTACATGATGTTAACCCAAAATGGTTTTCGCTCATCCCATAATAAGCAATGCAGGCCTTTTATATATACTTGAATGTTAAAAAAAATAACGTCTATTAAACTTTATTTTGTGTTTATATCTGTTAGTACGACAGACGCACAAATGGAGAACAAAAGATCCCTTCAGTCCTCGAGCGTTGGGTATTTTGTTGAAAGCGGTCCTGGATCGTACGGTTATTTGCTTAGTCTATGGGAGAGTGTTATATGACAGGGACAAATGAAAACACAAGGCATTGTCCTCGGGCGTGTAGAAATTCACTCTTGTGTGTTCGTAGTCTGTTTCATCAATGCACTTTTTCCTTGTAACTTTACCTTCTTTAACTTTATTTAATGATTTGTAATGTATGCAGGGCCCCAATGGAAACTAGTTTTAAACTGTTTGGGCATACCCTGGAAAAAGAAATGTAATAAATCAACCTATTGCACTGCAAAACCCAATGGATGTACCAAAACCGAGAATCAGAAACAAATGATATTGCTTTGAATCAAATTAGTAATTTTAATTTATACATTGCTAAGCCCCAATTTGTGAATTAGGCTACATGATTAGGAAGACAGATGACAGGTACTCTAGGACACCTGCTGTTGAAACCATGAACAGCCTTCTTCTTATTTTCATGTCATCAAGACGTTTCCTCTTGGAAAAAAAATGTAGTCGGAGAGTATTGTGCAGCTGAACTATTTTAGCTGCATGATCCATCTGATAGGTATACCCATCGGGGATGTTACACAGTTTGGTTGAAGTTCCTGTTTGATAACCAGACCGTCTCTCTCATTCCAAAAGAGTGAGTAATTGCATCCGAGCACAAATTCACTTCATCCCAAAGAAAGTAGAGATAGTTCAAGTTTTAAATCGGGTTTAAACTGAAATTAGTCATTAAAAAAAACCCCAAAAATCGATCTGCAATAAGAGTTCTTTTCTCTCTGAAATCACCTGGTCCTTAAAGTTTCACTCTTTTGAAATTGGAGGGTTCTATATATTCCTTTATAATTAAAGCTTTCCAGCCAACGTGCGACTAAAATTTGGCTTAATATACTGAGTCTAGCTTATTTGAAGGCGGAATATAATGACATACGGCTGAGTTTTCCCTAACATTAGCTCTAACCTCCAAGTTTCAGCAGGCAGTCAGTCCGTCTATTCCGTTTCAGACTCCCGGTTAAGATCGTCTTTCGGGCACACGTCGGATTAGATCATACGCACAGCACATGCGAACATGCGAGAGGCTGTTCTGAAACCTCATCATCGAAATTGCAATATGAGTTTTAGCTACATGTGTGAATGCGGGGCATGTTCAGCATCATGTTTGGAAGAGAACATTGAAACATGGATGTTGATAGGTCTCTCGAGTCTGGAGGAGTGACATCATTCACGGAAGGAAAGTGAGACACTGCTTGGAGGGTTGGGGCGTGAAAGCCACCGGGAAATCTTGACATGAAAGCCACGTTTTGGTATGTTGGTCCGTAGTTAAAGGTATAGGATCATTTGCTGTTTTACGGTTTCCAATTGTAACACCACTCAAAATCCAAAGAAGAAGGTTAGAAACCCAACCGGTCGAAGTTTCAGCTCAGTGACTATTATACCTTTCGAGAAAACATTGAAAATCCCGTGCACAACATTTTGATCACGAAACACGATTTCGTCGATAGCACTCTTTATTTCATAAATCAGTCAATTGACTGATCATTGGAAATCACCTACATTTCTTGATTTCAGCAAGCCAGACGGAATATTTCAGAGGGTGTTTATTACCGGAACGATCTTTAATCCACGTAAGCTTTTGATAATAATTCGGTAGGTTACTTTGGGGATTAATGTAAATGATCCTATATGCCTTTAAAGAGTTCAACTCGTGCCTCCCTTTCTTATATATCGTTTACGTTTTCCCCCAGCTACGATGTAAAGGCTTTCATATTATAGAATTAACACATTTGTGAGGTGAGCTTATACGGTAAGGTTGTGCGTGTTTCGTGTTAGGCTTATACAATAACAGCTGCCCACAGGCCTGGGCCGCTCACTGTCTACCAAAGTGCCAGCCCAGAAAGTGTTATTGACCTAAAGTGCCCTCTATTGACAGAGGATACAATACATGACTTTGAATAACCACTTGGCTTAACCCTAAAAGGGCCGGGGCGGAATCCACTCCCCCCCCCTCAACTATTTCCGTGATAGCCTTGAACTTTTCTTTTCGCGACCCGAGCAGTTATGACTTTTTAGCCTCGAGCCTTGCGCATCGTTTGATAACAAAAACATAAAAATCGAACCACGGGTTGCCGTGAAAACTCAACTTTCCCATATAAGTCGTGTACACAGAGCTGCATTCCCGTTCATACATATAAATAATTAATTAGCAATAATTCCAAAACCCTTTGACACATAGTCATGACATTTCTTTGGTATGTTCATGATGAGTTGTTCTACGCATGTACCGAGTTTCAAAAATTTTCGTCACTCGATGGCCGAGATCTTAGGGGGCCGCCCCCGCCCCCCCCCAGCCGGCTGAGAGATGGTCAAAATAACCTTTTAGGGTTAAACTTTTCATAAGATGGAATTTTGCGTCGTTACAGTGTTTATACCTCGGTGAACGGCAATAGCTAATATTGATTCATTTGGCTTAACAAGGTATTATGAGAAATAAAACATCTTTTTTTTTCAATCTTACGAAGTTAACATAAATGTGCATCTTTTTAAAAAATGATTTCCATGAAACATTATATGGAGCATCGCTTTTTTAATTCTATTACAGGGTAGGGTGATATAGTAGTTGATGACTAGATCCTGCAATATTGCTGAATGAACTTGAACGGCATACACTCATCAAATTGAAATGACACGTTTGAAAGACTTATCAAATACTAGTGTATAATTACATCCAACGCACCATGATATGGCTCACTTATGGCCCGATACTATCGCCATCTATTTCGAGCACATTGTTGTCTCCGCACAAAACCTCTCAAATTTCAACCCGTTGTATCAACCTCCACAAAAGGGCAACGAAACAGTCGTCCACATCCGCCATCGACAATTATAAATACATTAGCCGGATCAGTTACCAAGAAAGACCCTGGGAACGATGGAATAAGAAATGCTGTGGAGGAATTAAACAAAACTGAAATGTTGCGAAGTTAATGGGTGAAGCTAGCAATGTACGGGGTGAGTAAAAAATAAAAAAAGGAAACCCAAATGGCAGGACCATTTTTTTAAATGAAGTTCTGCATGTAACACTTTCAAAATGTAGGACATGAACGCCCAATAAATAAGCTTTCTTTTATTATATAAAGAATCATTCAAATCACTAATTTACTTTTCAAGTGACGGAATTTTAAACACAAACACCATTTAAGGTTCTGTCCAGGGATCACAAACAAAGGTAAGTGTTCTTTCAGCAAAACGAAAACAATTCACATAGGGATGTGTGTGAATTGTTTTCGTTTTGCTGAAAGAACACTTACCTTTTTTTTTTTCGTGGACGGAATTTTAAAACGGTGTTTGTGTTTACAATTCCGTAACGTCAAAAGTATATGATCGATTTGAATGAGTCATATACTAAAAGAAAGCTTATTAAGTGGGCTTTCATATCCTAGATTTTTAAAGTGCTACATGCAGAACTTCATTAAAAACTTGGTCCCGCCATTTTGGTTTCCTTTATCTTTTTTTAATCACCCTGTACTCTCGAGCCAGCTTGGTAGTACGGCGTATTATGGTTGCGTGACAAAAAGGCCACAATACTGCAGGACATGAAACTGAATACGGGTTTCAATGTTTCATTAGTTTCACGCTCAAAAAACCTCGGATCGGAATTGAGCCCCTCCAAGCTGATTTGGATGACACCAGTTTTAAGAGAATCCGTAATGAAACTGTCAGAGCGAGAGGCACTCGGTATTACAGGATATGGATAAAATATTCATCGGGAATTCTTACACGGTATGTGGAGAGGACAGAGACACAGACACATCGTACAGGCCGATAGACAAGATTATGTGACAGGGTCATTAGTTATTAAACATGAACGGATAAAAATAGCCGCATTGAACCAGACAATTCTTTTATTTGTTTCACCTCTAACGCAAGATGCTACTTCACTGGGTTTTTTTTTATCAAGTGAAGACTTCGCACGAACAATCTCATTTTCGTTTCTCCCTAACTGTCACCAGAAGATGATCATGTATAAGTGGATCAAGATATTTAGTCTTAAGTATGGACGTAATGATGCCGCACAGAAATTGTTCTATAGCACGTCAAGATATTTCCGTTATTGTTCAAAAATTAAATGCTTTATTGGAATGAATTGCAGTGAAATACCGTCACATTAGCATTGGAAACCTAATTATACCACGAACGATTAGACGATATATACATGTACCGGTAATCAAGTTTCTCTTAGCTGTAGTAAATCTTGAAAGGTTTCGCTAATAAGTCATGTATCGTGTTACCAAGTTTATCCTAGTTGTGGTAAACCTTGCGGGTTTAATACGTGGCTTGTACGTGTCTCGCGCTGTTTCTCGGACAGGCCATAGTATATTCCACTTACGGGAAAGGCTTCTTCGCCTGATCAAACCGTGAGTTTATATGAACATCGACTGATGTTATACGGAGTTGTATGTTGAATTTGCTGCGACCTAATATTTGCTGG